CCCCCACCCCCACCCCTTTTCCCCTGTCCCACCTGGAACCATCAGTCCCATTATTTTCTCCTCCAGATTCTTTATCCTGCCTATCTTATCTAGACATACATGCAGAGATAATTATAAGCACCAAAACAAGGCAGAGAAAAACAAAACAAACAAACACAAACACAAACCAATGACCAAAAAAAGCCTATAAAGAGTTCCAGGTCTTTTTGTTGACCTTAAGGAGTGTTTTCTGGTCGAGTCTGATGGGGTTCTACTCCCTGGTCCCAAAGTCTATTTTCGGTATTCCCCAGGGACTTCATTGCTTTGCTCCCTTTGGTGCTCTGTTGCAGGCCCTTAGCACTTCACCCCGGTGTTGCAGCAGTACTTTTAAAATTTGACTTCTGATTGTGAACTAGGTGAGGGCCCACAGAGCAGATCATCCGTTTCCTGTTCAACCATTCATACACATTTTGTTTCAAGTCATCTGTCGCACTCCTCTTGGTGTACGATCAGGCACCCCAAATCGCCCCTGTTTCCTGTTCCTCCTTTTTCCTAATCTTCTTGACTTTGTCCTTGGGCAAATGCTACTCTTCTGATCTTCACTGGTTGATGATGATCACCCTGGAGTGAGTTCAATTCCAAACCTGAAAGGTGATTAAGGGTCATAGTCTGGAAGGTCCCACCCTGCCTCTACCTGACCACTAGGCCCGGTCTCTCTTATGATTCCATAGCCTTGTTCCACACTGTCCTCCCACTATATCCAGGCCTTCTAATGTGACCCTGTTCAGAGCAGTTGGAGGTCCTAGATGGGCACCATCTAGTTCTTCTGGCCCCATAATCATGGAGACTAATGTTTGCTCAGTCCACTGGCCTAATTGTTTCCACGTGTCTTCCACCGCCACTGGATCCACAAGACTTTTCACCCACCAACCTGTGTCCTTCCTGCATTCGGCATCATTGCATGTGCTGCATGAGTCTGAAGAGGAATTTATGGATTAGTATGGCACATAGGGGCTGATATCAGATTCATGGACTCAATCGGGGCTGGAACGTTTTCTCAATAGACAACTGCTCCCTGATATAAAGCTCTCTCTTCCACACACGTGAGTGTCTCTGGGTTTGTTTCTCTAGTCCACCCGGCCTCACACACCAGTCATCAGTTACAGTCTGGGAAACGTACAGTGAGGGTGACTGTGAGTCAGCCTTGACTTGACATCAGCAAGGTGCTTTTTTCTTTCCTTTCCTCTCAGCTGGGAGGCCCCATCCGTCTGCACCTTCGATAGCCCCTCGCCATTCCTTAGGACCTCAGTCTAGCAGCTATACTTTTTGACGACCTTCATATGGATTTGAGCTTTGACCCTGCTTTTCTGCACAGGGGGGATGTTTCTCCCCATTTCCCAGGTCTCCATTTGCCTCATCTGTAGAATGGGAGAGGGAGAGACAGAAAGAGAGGGAGGCCATGGCTACTTCATCAGGGTGGAAAGGAATGTGGAAGTGTTTCTGAGCATTTCACAGGTGATAATTAGTGAGGGAGGGAGGAGGCTTTCAGCCAGGGTGGGGATGACAGGTGGATGGGTGCCTAGATTTCCCTGGATCTCCGACAGTCCTGCTCAAAGTGAGCCAACAGCCGCTAGATGCCAGAGAAAGATGGGTGTTCGGGAACCTGGGAAAATGGGTCGGTGGGCTCTTGCTTCAGCCAACCCTCAGACCTCAGGGAAAGAGCCTTTGGAAGGAGGAAGAGTAAAGGGGGAGGAGTCACTTGTGACTCAGGAG